CCGGAGACGGGATGTGACCCACTTTACTGATACTGTGGGGCCCTTGCACATTGTTGTTACAGCCAGAGATACAGCAATGGCGGTGACTTCAATTGCTCGTGTCTTGAAAATCAAGTATTCTATTAGTTTTGCGACATCAGATATGTCCGGAGAAACCGAACAGAAGGAAGTCTGTCCAGAGACGAGATGCAACAAGTTAGGAACACCAGCGGCAGTGAGAGTACTGGTTAATCGGTGCCCACTGCTACCAGTTCCATCCTCCATGCATCTCTTCCCCAATTCTTTGGCTAGCAAGGGATTGCATGCAAGATTCAGTCTTCTCTCCAACTCGGTGGAGATATCCGGCTTAGTGTATGGTTTACTCCTTACGCAATGCAGGAAAGCGAAGTAAGCAATCCACTTTTCACTGTAATCGGGAACATGAAACCAGGCCAGCAGATAGTCCTCTCCAACACTCGAGTTAGTAACACAAATCGGAAAGTTGTACAGCTTATTTTCCTCCCTAAGTGCGAAGTGTTCGTTTCTTACTTCAGCTTTAGACATCCTAACAAATTCCCTCGGATGTCTAAGTGTAGAGTCCCTGACAACTCGCATTACCGCTTGCGACTTATCGAATTCATCACTTGGTTGTTGGCTCTTCAAGTCGTCCAACGGAAGGCCCTTCCCAGAAAGCATTTCTGACCTACTGGTTTTAGGTATAAGTGCTCGAGGACACTGTTTACTTTCCCATGAGGTAACAGCTTGCTGGGTATCTCGAGGCCTAAGTAGTGTCTGGATGTCTTGAGGACTAAACACTTCCTGATGGACAAGGTAAGGAGGGGATGGAAGATGACTTCGGACTAGAGCTGAAGCCACTGGATGCCGGGTAGTGTTTTTATCTACCAGATTACCCTCATGGGAGGGTAGTAGAGGGTGCACGAGATGTTCACCTACAATGATGTTACCCTGTGGGATATGATGATAACTTTCATCTAAATCAGGAAGGTTTCCATAGGGAACAACTTCAGCTGGCACAGAAGTGGTAGTCGGCTTCAAGAATACACTGTGATCCTCCCTAGTGTCAGTAGACGGTGGAGAGAATACACAGTTTATAGAATCTCGCAAAACATAACTTATTTCTTGAGTGGCTAGCAAATCTCTGCGAGGAATGGTCACTTCAGCAGCGATGTCCTCCATGGTGACCTGCTCTACCTCCAGGGCGCCAGAGCTATAAAACTCTTGTTGCGTGTGCAGACGACATGAACTCAGCTGCCTCAACTGTTTAGTATCGAGGCTTCAGAAAAATCTCATTAATATTATATTCATAGAAAAGCGCTAAAGCCAGAGGAAAGGGGAAGAAATCAAGTTTGATCCACGATAGAAGAAGGCAGCTCCAGTTCCTTGAATCAAAAGCCCTTTACTAGCGTCAAGGCTCATCCGCTTGAAGGGAAGCTTCAGTATGAACCATGTTTTGTTGGCTCGAAGCCATAATGTCAACAAGGCACGAGTCAAAACAGGCAACCCAGGGTATGGGTGTCGGGGTATTTCATGAGCCGGGGTATATAGGCGTATGATTTAGTATATACACCCCAAAGCGTATATATGTGTTTATTCACAGAGAGGTGTACAATATATGCAAAAAAATATTTACTTTAATTGTAATTTTAAGACAAAACATTTTTGACTGGTGATATACAAGTGATTTGCAGCCTTAATGACCACTGTGTAATGGATAAGCTTGAAACCTGACAAAATAACACATGGACAGTTTTCCAAAAATTATATTTTTTACAATAATTTATGAACTGTCTGATATACATTTTTTTTACACCATAATTATCATAGTATCCTCACTTAACCGTTCTAAAATTAGCGTACAAAAATAGCTTATTCTAATACCACCAATTATAGGTCAACCCTAGAGTTTTGAATTAAATTAGCAGAAGTTAAAAGGAAAATTGAATTTACTCTCTGCTTCTTGGACAAAACGATCGTTGGTGAGGGGCTCTTGATCTAGGGAATTGTATTTGTACTCCAGTTCCCTGAATTGAGCCTGAATACCTTCCATCCTCTCCTACAGGCGATGTATAATCCTACAGGTTTAGCGCTCCCCCATGATTATAATAAAAATCAATGTATATAAACAGAGACGTGTGTATTTCTCACTACACGTATAGAGAACTTTGTATCATTATTTACTCACATAGGAATGTATTAATGTGTATATACACAGAGATGTGTAGCATTCAGTGCATATACACCGAAAAGGGAGTGCGCTTTTGCATACACACCGACAAGTATCCCTAATTGAGCCTAGTGAGGGTTAGCGAAGCAATTATTGTCGCAAGTAATGGCTGTAGCATGTGTATACATCATCACTTCTAACTACCGTAGGTCCACAGTCTAATAAAAATGATCGAAGTGTTTTGGAAGCATTGTACAGTTCGTGAGTATGTGATGTGAAGTCCGGTGGAGTGGACTCTCACTCTTGCTTGGACTGGAGAAAAGGGTAACAGGAATAAAGTTTTGTCAAATTGCTTAGGCGACATCGTCAGGATCTGCCACTCTTTTTGTCGCCTGCAATTGTATGGACTGAAGTGGTGTCAAATGTACATTTGCCAGCTTATTTTCTTACTTTTTTTTTCCCCCAGACTGCGCACACTGATGAAGTGACGTTTACAGTGGACACGTAAGCTTGCCAGAGTGATTGTTTGTATTATGAGCCGCATTTGTACTCTCGTTTGTTTATAGATTAAGAAATATCTGTGATTGGACTGTAACAGTAGCTGCTCCAAGCCACGTTGTTTAAACGAATTTCACGAGCACACTGACACATGAATATGTGTTTATGAGGTCCTAGGGACGGACAGAGTAGTGGCAGAGAGGATAGCTTCTACTGATATTTTTACCTGTTCGTCTGGAAAGAAACTAGAAGGAGAAACACTGAAAGAGGTCAGTTGTGCATAGATTTTCCAACTTGCGGGTGCCCGTGGCTTGTTTGATAGCGTCCTCAGCACACACACTAGAGGTCTGGGATCGATCCCGGCACTGGTGAAAGGTTGGTCATGTCTCCTTACACCTGCTGTCCCTGTTGACATAGCAGTAAGTACCTGGGAGTTAGACGACTGGTGTGGGTCGCATCCTGGGGACAAAATTAACCTAAATGCAGAGCATTTCGGGCATTGATGTCATTGATGTCAGCTATATCATGTACTTGTAGAAATTATTATTATTATTATTATTATTATTATTATTATTATAGTGCTAGTGGGGGTCAGCGAGAGGGGAAAGGTGTAAAAATGGGAAGTAATGTACATCATTTATGACTCTCAAACAATATTCCAGAGTTATAGAAAAAGAGTAAATAGAGGAATCGATACAGGAATGGGTATGAGTTTGTAAATCCAGATGTGTAGGAACACTGGTGTTTAAATTATGTAGAGGGAGAGTGGTCAGAAACGACTCCAAGTGGCTACCATGGGAGTCGTAATGTGACCCACCCGAGAGTAAATGATAAAAGTTGTAATCGCCTAATAAAAGCAAATAAAAAAAAGATGAAATCAGAAATTGTATGTTAGGTAACGATAATGACTGCGAGGGGTAAAAGGTATATAACAAGCAAACCTTGCATCATTTGTCCAAATAGTTAAGGGATGGAAATTTGAGAATAGGGAATGTCATGGTATACAAGAAGTGTGTTTATGATTCATCGCGAAGGAGTTTTGGTGAATATAATAAAACCAGGGCCCGGGTTCGATTCCCGGCGGGTGGAAATTCCGACACGTTTCCTTACACCTGTTGTCCTGTTCACCTAGCAGCAAATAGGTACCTGGGTGTTAGTCGACTGGTGTGGGTCGCATCCTGGGGGACAAGATTAAGGACCCCAATGGAAATAAGTTAGACAGTCCTCGATGACGCACTGACTTTCTTGGGTTATCCTGGGTGGCTAACCCTCCGGGGTTAAAAATCCGAACGAAATCTTATCTTATCTTATCTTACTTACAGCTAAGACTTACAGCTTCTTCTCATTCATAACATCTCATTCTTAACATCTATACTACATCCACGCACATTCAAACATCCCAACTTTAAAATGTCCTTTTTCAATTTAATAATTTATACAGGATAAGGGGTTACTAGTTTCCTGTTCCCGGCATTTTAGTCTCTTACGATGCAGAGCTGTATGGCCCTTGTGGTTTAGCGCTTCTTTTTTTATTATAACAATAATAAGTCTCTTGCGACACGCATGGCTTACGGAGGAAGGATTTTTCTCTATTACCAAATCATTTTTCCATATTTATTTATATTTCCATGATTAGGTATAACACTCATATATATTTATGTATTCCCTTCTCTGTAAACAGGCAAAGATTTTTTCAGCATGTGATTGCTGATGTTCGTTCACCCTGGGTTAAATGTGGTTACTCATATATGGTTGCAGGAGTCTAGTCACAGCTGTATGTGTGTGTGTGTGCGTGTGTGTGTGTGTGTATGTGTGTGTGTGTGTATACTCACCTTTTTGTGACTGCAGGAATTGATTCACAGCTCCTGGTTCCGCCTCTTCGCTGATTGTTACAGTCCACTCCTTCATTCAATGTGTATTCACCTAGATGTACTCACCTAGTTGTGGTTGCAAGGGTCGAGTCACAGCTCTTGGTCTCGTCTCTTCACTGGCCGCTACTCGGTCACTCTTTCCGCTTCATGAGCTTTATCATACCTCTTCTTAAAGCTATGTATGCATCCTGCCTCCACTACATCACTTCCCAGACTATTCCACTTCCTGACAACTCTGTGACTGAAGAAATACTTCCTAACATCCCTGTGGTTCATCGTGGTTCATCTAAGTCTTCAACTTCCAACTGTGACCCCTTGTTACTGTGTCCCATCTCTGGAACATCCTGTGTATGTGTGTGTGTGTGTGTGTGTGTGTGTGTGTGTGTGTGTGTGTGTGTGTGTGTGTGTGTGTGTGTTTTAGTACAAATCAGTGGGTGCTACTAAAATGCTAAGATTGAATGCCTCACCTGAATCGTCAGTAGCGTCGACGGGGACTCCTGCTTCCAGTAGGAGCTGTATGTGGCGAGGGTGTCCCTTCCTTACTGCCTCCACCAGCCCATCAACGCCCCCTGCCCACTCACGCCCACCCATATCATCCCCGCCCACCGCACCTTGGCCTCTCCGCCCAGATGTCGGTAGGCGCTGGGTGGGCTGGGGCAGGTGTGATTCCCAGATGATCCTGCTGGACCAAACTTGGTTATGAGCGGGGGTGAGGGGCGCTAGCTGGCATTGGATGATATTGCTCCAAGGCAGCAGATCCTAGGCTGAGTCTGTGGTCCTTGGTGAGGATAGACGATATTTGGCGTAGATTGACTTTGGGTGGAGAAAAGGGGGGCTAGTCGGAGGTAATTGATGTTGAGAGAAGTGATCCTACCTCTCCCTTAGGAAGTTTGTGCTGTATAGCCCTTGTGGCTTAGCGCTTCTTTTTTGATTATAATAATAATAATTAGGAAGTTTGTGATAGGAAATGGAAGTCCTGATGAGGGAAACACTTCAAGACGATGACATTTGTAAGAGAGACTTTTATCGAACACGATTCGTAACTTGTTCCAGAAGAAGTCGGGCAGACAATTGATAGTCTTACTGACTGGCAATGTTAGCCAACAACATATTGTTTATAAGTCAAACACTAAAGAGTCGTGGCTAGATGAGAACCGATAGTTGTGTTGATGCCAGTTGGTTATAAGTGCTGACACATGTTTCGGGACGCGTATGGGTCGTTGTGGGAACCTTCCAGCTACAGTAACTGTAGCAGACGAAGCCTTTATGCCTTTACAAGCAGTGGCCAAGTTACTGCCAATAACACGTTGTCTTTGTCATTAAGTCTTTCTCCGTCGACTGATGTTCTCTCATTTCATTCCTTTAATATAAAATGTAATTATATATTACATCAAATATAACATTTAAAACAAATTGTTTTATACAAAAAATATTAATCACGCGGCGACAGTTATCAGTTACAGTATATACCTAACTTGTCTCTTTCCTCCAACTTTCTCATTCATAAACTAAGAAACTTATACTATCCAAGATGATGCTGAACACGATGGAGAAAATAAAACTGCTGCTATATATCAACGTCAGATCACCGACACTACATCATTAACCCAAATTATCAACATAGAGGTGCCTCAGGATAGCGTCCTTGGTTCACTGTTATTCCTCATCCAGATCAATCACCTTCCAAATGTCTCCCAAGAGTTTAAACCAGAGTCCTGTTTGCATGACACCACATTTGTCATATCGTCATTCGCTGCCTGACTACGGTGGAGTGAGGTTGTGCCCAGCACCCCTCTGCTGTTTTTCAGGCGAGCTACCACAGTACATCAACAACCATTGAGTAGTGTGGACGTGCGCTGCTCATTTTGGGATATCAAAATGGCTGAACATACAGTACGGAGAGTAAATACTATCTGCATAGAGCTGGTTCGTGGTACGTTAAGTGGAGATACGATGAACGTACTTCTCCCTAACATCATCAGGGACACATATGGTATCCCCAACGAGGAATTATATGGCGTCGCTCTTATTGGTTTTGTCAAGCAATCTTCGTGAAATTTCTGAGAGCGGCTTCTACACTAAAGAATAGTCGAGCAGTACACAGGAACAACGCATGCATGAGTGTGAGTCAGCGATGGATGTTGTGTTACATGATGTTTCTAGTACTACACCATGGGTGTAGGTACGGAATGTTCCCTTCCGAGGCTACGGTGTATGGACTACAGTGGTGGAGTTTTTTTCGCTGTTATGGGGACCCCCCCCCATTGCATTCTGCAACCATGGGGGTATGGAGCGGATGGTCCGTATGAAGGATGTCAGATGGGTTCTTACACCCTTATAAATGTCTTTAAACAAGAACCGTATACACCATCTATGTATCGATGACGGTTGTAGAACTCTGGTTTATGTGTACTATGCGGGTTCAGAGAAAAAACATGTCGTCTGTGCAGTCTTATGAGCACATGGCAGCCCAGTGTCCTAGGAGGCTAGGCGCCTCGAAATTCTGGATTACGCCGATTGTGATTCAAAGTCGTGTGATTTGGTGCCTGCGTCTCTGTTGCACTCTGGAGGACGGAGGCCCAAGATCTCTGGAGCCAGGAGGTCGACCGGAGGTGGCGGGAGGAGGTGAAGTGTGTCACTATTCCAGGGGAGCGGTGGGTGTCGAAGGTGTATCTGAGGAGTCTTTAGTCCAGGAAGCTTCGACTCAAGGAGGGTTTACTGGAAAATGATGTCATCAGGATTTTTTGGATGGGATGAAGCCTGGTGTAGAGGTGTCCTCAGTTTATGTGAAAGTTGGAGAGGCGGGAGGGTCAACAAATTGTGGAGACCAAGAACTTGAGTAAGAAAAGGCTGGAGGTTTGTGTGGTGGGCCGTGGGGTACAACCAGGAGGAGTCGTACTCTGAGGGTGTGAGATGTTGTGTAAGTGATGTTCTAGAATAAAAGAACTGCGGCATCAGTGATAGGACGAGGTTATTTACCCCGGGGGCTGGGCGGGGAAAGAAGTCTTGGGGCAGCGGTTGCTGGAAGCCCATGCATCATAGAGCTAGAGGTGCGCCTGAGTTGCACTGTGGGGCGAGGGAGGGGGGAGGTGACCTTGCTACAGTTTAACTCGACGTGGTAAAGGAATACGTATTGTGGGAGAAAAGTGCAGCGAGTGAGAGTAATCCCAGGCGGCATAGGGGAAAGCGCCACTTCTATAATTTTCAGGATGTGTCACGCTTAATGTCATTGGAATTAAGATGTGTGTTAAGAAAGTTGTAGTTGGAGTGTGGTTTTTACGGCTCGGTTGGGGTAGATATTTGCTTTTTGCAAAAGATGGGCTAATAATTAGGGACTGGTGTTTGAGTGTTTGCGGTTAAAAGGATAATCGGATGTATGTTACCAGTGGTTTGCAATTGAATAGGTGGAAGTTGGTAGCAGTGGCGATAAAGGAGGACCAGCCCTTGCGTGTATCGGCTGGGAAGAAGGGGGGGGGTGGGTAGGGTCGTGAGGGTGGATTGAGTGTCTGGGGTGAGAGTCGAGCTAGTTTTGTAGGAGTTTACATGCAGCTCAACTAATCATATACCGGGGTGGAAAATGGTAGATTTTGTCAGAGAGGTATTGCTGTGATCACTTGAGAGGTTTGCCTGTTTAACAGTAATAGGAGGTGATTGGAACTTGTGTGATTAGACGAGTGGTGATGTCGAACCGAGTGGGGCGGCCGGTTGTGTTGCTGTAGTGTGCTGAGGGTATGTATTGCGTGATTTGGTGGTTGTTGATGTGGTGGGGAGGGGGGGTTACCTAGTGGAGCATAACGTTTGTCGTTGGTGGATATGAAGCGCGCATTAGCAGATTTTATATAAGCAGGGTACATTAGGATGTTGTGAGCCAGGTGCAATACTCGTTGTGGGGTTTTTGATCACAGAGCGGTAATTAGCGTTTTTGACTGTGGAATGGAGTGGTGCCGTATTTTATTCTGGGGTACTGGAAATTAAAATGTAAGGCTTCTTAAGGAGGAGGGGAGGGGCCTTTTTTCAGTGATTGGTGGTTTGCCTTATTTGGGAGGCTTGGTACAGGGAGACTAGATCTGTTAGATTGGTGGGAAATGCAGGCAAAACATGGAAAGCGAATTTTTTTAAGGCTGGGGAGAGATGAGGCGAGCGTGGCCTCGTTTTGGGTTGCAATATTTCTGGAGGGACAGTTGCAGGATTGTTTTGTTGGGTGGAACGGTTGAGTTAGGAGGCGTTCATATGGAACAAGACTGCGGAGTAGTATGGCTTGAATTTAGACAACAATGATTAGGTTTGATGGCAATTAGTGTTAGGGCGGCAGGTTTTTTTCTGAGGATGTTTTGTCGGCGGATGGATGATAAGCCGTCTGGTATGTTTTTTACGTAATTCCGGGACCGACAGAGTGTAACCACCATTTTATCAATTGGAGACAAGCCCTGGGGATGGGGGGTATCCAGTGGGTGAGTCCTATCCACTACGGTAAAAGTTTGAGTATCTATGTTGATAGTTGGTTTAGAGTAGAAATGGAGTTGGAGGGAGGGGGGTTCTGGAGGGTATTTTTTGAAGGGTGGGGTTCCATAGCGTTTTAGTGAGCAGGATTAGTGAGTGGGTGGTTGGAGGTTGGTATAAGGAGGTTGAGGTGGATGGGCAGTAGTTTTCGCGGGTTGTGTACGGGTAAAAACTCCAGGGAGTATATTGACGGTATACCAAATGATTTTTATAGAGCCACATTGGGGTGTGTAATAGGCAGATGTTTTGTTTTAGGGCTATCGGTCCATTTGTTATACTAGTGGGAAAGTTGAGCATATCGCAATAAGTACGGGTGTCATAGTTTGGTGCCAAAGATGGGGGGGGGGGGTTAGAGAGTGAGTTGCTTACCGTGCAATATCTTGATGTGCGCCTGATTACAAGGTTTTTGCGAAAATTTTGGGTAATAGACTGAAGAAGGTATGGGATCCGGTGATACTGTGGACAGTTTGGTATCCGGGGAGGTGTATGAGAGTGTAGGTAATCGGTCGTATTCGGATTTCTTGAGGGTGTAATAAGGGAGGTATTCTAGGTCTGGATTGGGAGAAAGCTTATGATTATGGGTAGGGAATTTTTGTTTGAGAGTATGGTGAGAATGGGCTGTTGGAGGGAGGGGTGGTTGGATGGGTGAGGAATTTGTATGAGAATGCATCAATGAAGATACAGGTAATGGGAGGTTTGCGGTTAGTTTTCAGTAAGCATCATGGGAAGGGTTTAAGGCAGGTGTTGTCCACTTCCCAAATACTTTTGCTAAGTATGCAGAATCCTTTCTATGTTTTGGTTGATGGTGGGGATGGGAAGGTTGGGGGAGAGTGGAGGATCATTGTGGGAATATTGTTGGTTAGTAGATCGATTACACTCTGTTTACTTTATGGGATTGAAGATTTAAGAATGAAAGAAGTGGGAGGATAGGGTAATTGAGATTTTGGGGAATTGATACGGGGATGAGCAGTTAATAAGCAGGAAGCACGGTTTGTTGGAATTGTGGTAGGGGCTGGGTAGGTGGCGTCCTTGGGGGAGGTGTTTGGTTGGGATATCTGTAGACATTTAGGCTGGTAAAGATTTTGTCGCGGGATTTGTTTTTTGTGACAGTAATGGCACAGACGTTCGGAGGAGGTTGGGGGTATTAATTCAGTGAAATGTTATATGGACGAGCCTTTTGAGTAGGCTTCGAGGAGTTCTAGATGGCCGGGAGGGATGTAACCTTGCATCAAAGGGTTGTGGTGGTAAGATACGCTGATTTAATCAGTTTGGTGTTGGGGAGTGTGGGACGGAAATTTACCAATTTAGATTAGTCAGGTTATTATGGGAAATGCAAAGAAGGTCTCCTAAGGTATGTGTGAGGCTATGGGAGGCGCGTGGGGTTGGGCAAAAATGTAGTAATGACTCGTAAGGCAGGGGTTGTGACTTGGGATTTGATTGCATTAGTGGTCTAGGGGTGAGAGGCGCTAATGTGAAGTCAACGAGGGATATTCGGGCTGCGGGGGAAAGGGAGTTGCTTCGGCGAGTGGGGGAGCGGGATCCGTTCTGGTGATGGGGGATATCGCAAATGGTGGGGGGGTGGGCTGGGACTTAGTGGAGTGTGAAGAACAGTGTGTGTGTTGCGGTTTATTGTTTAATGTGTGATGCAATGTTCAAAAAAACTCAAGGTTTTAAAACGGTTAGTGGGTGTTGCGGTCGTCGGCAGGATTTAATGAAACGGGATGGCATGTGTATCCCACATATGATTTGGAGAGGGATATGGGTGGAATTCTAGTAAATTAAGAAATACCGGCAAGGAGCGAGGTATTTAGTATTATTGATTTTTATGGGGAGTTAGCATCGAATGAGGTGCTAAGACGA